CCCGCCGACCCCTCCCGCCTCCACCGGGCTCTGGAGCTGGCCCCCAGCCGCAGCATCAACTGCTCGGGGGTCGTCCGCGGGGACCAGAAAGCCATCCGGGAGGCGCAGCTCAGCAACCTCGAAGTGGCGAACAGAAAGGCTTCACCGACGCCGGGCGAATACCTGAACATTACGAGGGACTGCAGAGCCTTCAAGGAGACCCGGCGCTACATCGAGTTTCCCCTCAGCCAGGAGGAGAAGGAGTTCCCCATCGCCTACTCCATGGTCATCCACAACAAAATCGACATGTTTGAGCGGCTCCTGCGGTCCGTCTACTCCCCCCAGAACGTCTACTGTGTCCATGTGGACAGCAAATCCCCGGCCGCCTTCCAGGAGGCCGTGCGGGCCATTGCTGCCTGCTTCCCCAACGTCTTCGTGGCCAGCCGCCTGGAGAGCGTGGTCTATGCCGCCTGGTCCCGGCTGCAGGCCGACCTCAACTGCATGCAGGACCTGCTGCAGAGCCCCGTGCCGTGGCGATACCTCATCAACACTTGCGGCACCGACTTCCCCATCAAGACCAATGGCGAGATAGTCCGGGCGCTGCAGCTGCTGCAGGGCCATAACAACGTGGAGTCGGAGAAGCCGTCAGCCGCCAAGCAGCAGCGCTGGCAGTACCACCACGAGGTGGGGGAGACCATCTCTCGCACTGCCCAGAAGAAACTGCCGCCGCCCCACAGCTACCCCATGTTCACGGGCAGCGCGTACAACGCGGTCACACGGGACTTTGTGCGGTACGTCTTCGAGAACCCCACGGCACAAATGTTCCTCGAGTGGTCCAAGGACAGCTACAGCCCTGACGAGCACGTCTGGGCCACCCTGAACCGCATGCCGGGCGTGCCGGGGGGCACTCCCCCCAGCGACAAGTTCCAGCTCTCGGACATGAACGCCCTTCCCCGCCTGGTCAAGTGGGAGTACCTGGAGGGGGACATCAGCAAGGGCGCGGCCTACCCGCCCTGCACCGGCCGCCACCAGCGCGCCATCTGCATCTACGGGGTGGGCGACGTGCCCTGGATGCTGCAGCAGCACCATCTCTTGGCCAACAAGTTCGACCCCGAGGTGGACGATGCGGCCCTCCAGTGTCTCGAGGAGCACCTGCGCCACAAGGCCCTGTACGGCCGGGGGCTCTGAGGGGGAGCCGCGGAGACTCTGGCCAGCACCTGTTGCCTTCCACGGG